ATTTTTTTAATTCGTAAAAAGATCCCTCCACCTTCCACTCAGCACCGACCCTGCCTCGGCTATTCGCCATTCCAGGGAGTCCGGGATTCCCGGTGTCCGTCATCCCCGGGAATACATAATATAATAAATACATTTTTTTTATTACTATTTTACATATAATACATACACACCATACTATATACATACTATATACACACACTCTCCCTACAACACATTAAATATAACATACGTAAAGTTAATACATACATACAATGTATAAACATACAACAATAAAATTAATAAAATTAATACAATAATATATAACAAATAAAACTAATAAAATAATATAGAACGCGAAGATATAATATATAAGATATAATAATAATATTGGCCCCTCGTCCTCGTTTCCGTTGTCATTCCTCGTCGGCGTCGTCGTTCCCTCGTCGGTGTCGTCGTCCCTCGTCGGCGTCCTCGTTCCCTCGTCGGCGTCGTCGCCCCTCGTCGACGTCCTCGTCAATAACAGGTGCCTCTGTAACAGTTAACAACAATAAATTAAAATTTCATGTATTTCTAAATGTAGAATGTATAAATGAATTCAATCTATCATATTTAAATAAAGAATAGGAAACTTTTAATGCTCGCGAGAGGGCGCACTCGACCATATTATAAGGAGAAACGATCACAGTCATTCTTATGAAGAAAGTAATATATGACTTACTACAGTTCATCTTCGGATGCGTCGGAGAAGAAATTCAACGGGTCCGAGGTATTATCGCCGTTATTATTCCTGGCCCGTTTTTCTGGCCGCCTGCTCTTGGCACTTCGAATACGCTCTTTGGCGTTCCGGAGTGCCACCATTAGGCAGTCGCCAATTTCCTTGCGCGAGGGCCTGCTGAAATTCTTATTCCGAATTACAGCATCTGTAAATGAAATGCAGACAATACTTAATGTTAATGGCCGCCGTGTACAGTGCAATGAAAAGTGTTTATATACAGTGAATTCTTTGTTGAATTCATTGCTCATTTGTATTAAATTAAATTGAGAAATGAATTGTTGCCGATTGTTATATACAAATGAATTATGCATTAAACAAAGAATCAAAAGTGTGTGATAAGTGATACATACCGTGAATAGCACGACATATTCGTGCCTCGCGCAATGGCAAATTACGTTCTTCACGGCCCAGCCAGGAGTAGGAAGTGGCGATGGAATCTGCCACTGCTTCCTTGAAGCTCAGATTGACGGCTTCCCTCACGGTTGTGCCGCCAATATAAACCAAGTACTTCACCTAAACAAAGTAAGCAATAATTAGCATTTATTCTGTTGTTGCATGTAATACAAAATCGTATTCTTATTTCACTTACAGTGGCTTCATAAGTTTCGTCAGCCTCATTGAAATTCTGCATCTCCTGCACCGATGACAGCGGCAGACACATCGGCTTCGTAGGAGCTCCTTGCTGAGCCTGCATGAGCCGCAGGATCTGCTTCAGCTGCCTGGAGTTCTCCTCCACCGTTTGTTGTGTTTTCCTGAAAAGGTAAATGTCAATTAAATACTAAAATTATGAATACATTTATATACATTTATACACATATATTTCACATGGATACTTACGCCATCATCGCCATCATCACGTCGTACTTCCTTGTCAACTCCTTGCACCTTTCATTGGTGCACACTGCTGTCCGTCCATCACGGTCCTGCCTGTCTTCATCATTCTGAGCATTCTGGCTGCGCCGATTTACTTGTAGTTCGTCCTCGTTGTCTATATTTAAAATAAGAGGTGTACTATTATTTGTATGTGGGTATATGGGTACAGTAGTGTGAGGTGTATGTGTGATAGTCTGTGGTGCATGTGTGATAGTCTGTGGTACATGTGTGACAGTGTGTGGTGCATGTGTGATAGTGTGTGGTACATGTGTGATAATGTGTGGTGCATGTGTGTGTGGATAGGTTGTAGTGTGCGTGACTGTGGGTAGTGCGTGTGTAAGTGATGGACGTGTAACTGCGTGTTGTGCGTGCATATGTGTGTATTCTGCCCTGTTTACGTATGCCCTGTTATTAAAAATATCCGTCGTTTCCTCCTCGAGGACACGACGGAGCTCATCCTCGTCTTCGTAAAGCTGCTGCTGCCTCCTCTTCCTCTGAGGTTCCTCGTCGGACGATGTCGTCTGGTACCGTGTCGGTTTCCCTGCTGTACGTTTTGGTCGCTGTTCCATCTGTAAGTTAAATAAAAATTGAAGACAGTTTCTAAAAGTTAAAGAAAAAGTAAAGAAAGTTTCTAAATATGGAAGATGATGTATTCATTGAAAATATGCTTACTTTTCTGCTTCTTCTGTTCAAATTGATATGCTGAATTCCACGTGCACGTCGTCGTCGTCGTCGAAACTCAACTGATGTAGTGAAACCGTTACTCCTACACTGCGTTACGTACAGCTATCGCTTGTCAATTGTTTGTGCGCACTGGTCTTCTGACATATGAGCGTCCAATAGAAGCATCTCCCGCTCGCACCGTTCTTCTACCTCCGGCAAAAGTCATGTGAGGAAGGCAGATAGCGTACTTTCAAGTCTCGCGATTGTCACTTTTCTTGTTTCTCTGGCCCATACTGTCGCACGTGCTGATAAAGTTATAGTGTGAGGTTAAAGTTACGTGAAAAGTTAAAGTTGAAGCAAAGGGAAGCCTAGGACGAGTACGCAAGATTGCAGAAAACTGACAGGTCAGACGTTTAATTATGAGCTCATCTCCTAAATTATCGATAGCGAGGAAGCCGCTGTGTAGAATATCGTCGACTAGACAAAAAAGTAGACTCAGAAAGCGTTTGAGACAGAGTATACTTTCTTCATCTCCTCCTGAATCTTCCATTTTACAGATTAATGATGTTAATTTAGATAATGCTTCCATTCCTGATAATTTAAATAACGTCGCTTCGTCATCTGGAGACAACGTAATCGACAGCGCGACTTTATCTTGTTCTTCATCGTCTTCCTCTTCGTAGTCCACTTTTTCTTCTGATTTTTCTCATCAGTCTTCTCCCCCTTTGTCGAATAGATCTGAAATTGTTCATGAACCTTCTTTCCTGACCCGTTTGTCTTCGTATTGTGTAGATAACAATGTGAACCATGTGCAAGGTAATAATTTACTTACCCTTCTTCGAACGCACGAATGTTTTAATCATTTCCCGAAGGATATTAGGACTCTCGTACACACTCCACGCAATCGTGTTACAACGTATGTCGTAGTACCAGGGGAGTATATTCACTTTAGCCTGGAAGTAGAAATTGTAAAATACTTGAACACACAATTGTCCTTATAGTTCAAGTATTCATGAAATCCAATTAGATTTCCATACTGATGGATATTCCTTGGATAGGACAGGAAGTATTCAACTTTGGCCTATACAATGCATGATTAGAAATTTACCATATGCAAGGCCAGTAATTGTAGGGATTTATAGAGGCCCCCAAAAACCAGATAGCCCTTGCTCTTTTTTTAGTAAATTCATCAGAGATGTCCAAGACATCATTTCTAAGGGAGGTATCGATTTTCATGGTACTAAGGTGCCAATCAAATTGCGGTGCTTTATCGCTGATGCTCCAGCAATTTTAAATCACCGTAGTCATATTTCTAATCGACCCTGTTCCAAATGCAAAGTCTCTAGTGTCCAAAGTGAACGAAGAGTTGCTTATATTGGAGTCGATCACACACTTCGAACCGGCGTGCAATATGTTCAGTGTTTGGACGAGGACCATCACAAAGAAGGTGGAAGCCCGTTAGCTTCGCTATCCTTTGGAATGGTTTCTCAGGTTCCATTCGAATATATGCACCTCGTATGCTTGGGTGTCGTTAAAGAACTATTATCTGCGTGGATATGCGGTAAATATTCACGCTCCTCTAAACTATCCAGTAGTCAGGTTTCTTTGATGTCTACAAGACTGGAGAGTCTCAGACAATATTGTCCCTCTAATTTCGCTCGACGCCCAAGATCAATCCAGCAATTTTCTAATTATAAGGCCGTAGAATTTCGGCAATTTCTTCTTTACACTAGACCCGTTATAGCATCTGGAATTTTGCCCGATAAATTATTTAATCACTTTTTGCTTTTACATTCAGCGATTCTGGTATTAGCTTCACAATCTCCGTCACCTGGTTATTTAAATTTTGCAGAGATCGCTCTGCAAAAATTTGTTCTTCGTAGCGAACAATTGTATGGCCCACATTTTTGTTGTTACAACATTCATGGTCTTCTTCATTTAACCGAGGATGTTAGACGTCTTGGTTCCGTTGATTCGTTTTCTGCTTTCCCTTATGAAAGCAATGTGAAAGTATTTAAAAAATATTGTAGGAAGGCGGGTCAGCCTCTCCAACAAATTGTAAAAAGAATGGCGGAGATTGATAGCAGTAGAGTGTATGTAAATAGGGATCAGGTTTCTTCGATACAGGTATCTATGCCTATTGGCAGCGGTACTGAATCTCATCTTCAGTACCGTAAGATACAATTTAATGGTATGGCCTTCAGTGTAGATGTACGCGATAATTGCTGCATCTTACAGAATGGTACCATATCCATTATTTGCTCCATTGTCAAGCAGGGCGATGGAGTCCAATTAGGTGTACGCTCGTTTTTGCAGGTAGATGANCAATCTGATGCCAATCTGCGTACATTTTGCTAACAGGGCAGGGACTTTATTAGGGACGTATTTATTTATAAAGAATTTAACATGCGATGAATAAAATTCGACTATTATACTTGCGTCGAAATCGTCAAACAATAGTCTGTGTCAAGTGACGATAGCAACAAAGAGAAAAATGAAAACAATAAAAAAATATATACTTCACTTGATTTCAGAATTTTTTATTAATCATCTTCCAAAACATCGAGAATGAAAAGATGATTGAAAATAAAAATTGTCAAGAATAATCGATTCTATCTATAGCAAATCGTGTAGCGTTTTCCACGCTTCCTAAATATCGATTTAGTTCGAACGAAGCAGAATTGAAACCATTCAAACGATAGTGGACCAGCAGTGAATCTGTTCGATTTTCCTACAGAGTCGTTCACTCTGTGATCGAACGTTGTCCCGTTCGCCTATCCCTCGTCTCGTCGCATCGTTCAATCAGTTACAAATTTAGATATGAGGCCAGTACGTCTCAGTACTTAATCCAATAACCTCTACTTAATTAGATTATAAGCAGTTCAGAGACGAAATCATGTCGAAACATTTTTCCTCTGTGAACATCTTGGCAAACGCACCGATCTGTTTCACTCTGAACATTACTGATGTTAACAAACGAGTGTAGAAATCGTAGAAATGTTGCGACGAAACAGGTAAGTATACTCGTTATGTAACCTTAATCCATTTAATCGCGAAACGTTCAATTCATAACTCGATTTTACTTCTGTAGATTGAAGAACAGAGCCACTGCGGTTTCACTCCTGCTATTAGCAGCTGTGATTTACAACGAGTATTCGGTGTACGACTTACAGAGACTCAAATGGACGAGGAGAGATTGTACAGAATGCGTGAAGGTGCTGCTTGTCGCAGACCCACAGATCCTAGGCGAGAGGAACGAGAATTACTTTGGCTCTTGGGTAGCACGATGGGACAGTGATAAGTACGACTAACGATTAACATTGATTCATGTTATCTTCAGCATCAGCCATGATCTTGACGACTCCGATTGATCTACGTTTTGTTCCACAGTGTTCTATTTGCAGGTACTTAAAAAGCACGTTCTCGAGGGCGTTGGATCACTCTAACCCGCACGTTGTCGCGTTCCTGGGCGACCTGATGGACGAGGGTCATATCAGTAGCATAGACAGTTTTAATAGATATAAAAGGAGGCTAGACTCGATCTTTCAAATGCCCGATCATATCATGGTATGACACTGCATTCGTTTGATAATCGGTCTCCTTTTATCATTTCTAAGTAGTCTGATTTTTGCCAGAAAATTTATCTGCCCGGTGACAATGACATCGGCGGTGAAATGGACGCAGTATCTACTAATATTCACAATCGATTCAATTTCGCTTATAGCCAGCCAGACACTTTAGTTTATAAAACAGTAACGTTCTTCAAGGTAAACGATTACAGGTAATTCAAATAGTGGATGGTTTAAAGTATTGTTCTATTAGGTGAATAGATTGACGCATACGATGCCTGAAGCTCCGAAAGATGCCTTCCTCAACGATTACGCCGAGAGGAACACCACGAATATTGTACTTAGCCACATGCCTTTATTATTCATGCCTGGCACTTTTGTTCAAAACGTAAGTGAAATCTTTTTACAATGTGTGGTTTATGAAAGTGGCAAGTGAAAGTGTTCGACTTTTCCTCGGAATTGCGAAGAAGAAGAAGACGTTTTCACGTCGATAGGATTTCGTTAAACGTTCTTGGAATGAGTGTTTAATTTTGTGTGAGATAGAAAATTTCTTCAAACGTTTTCAAGATCTGACTATTCGCGTTTATGCGAAATTAGTCGAAATTTAAATGGCTTCGTTGAAGATTCCCAGGACAAGTGTTAAGTTTGTTATAATAATTGAAAAATTGTGCACCGATGAGGTGAGAATTTTTTGCCACACAAAAGCAAAGGCGACATCATTTTGGAAAGACCAATACTGAAACAATCTTAAGATCGTCAAGTCAAAAGTGAAGATACAAGTAGAACGTTCCTTTAAAGGGCGCCTATTTCCCCATAGATCAATGAAAATTCTTCTCTTCCCGATAGATTTTCGGGTTGTTTCCGTTGAAATACACCTTCTTCAAGTATTCTCAAGAGGAATCCATGCATGTTTCATACATATGTGAGATACAAGTCGACTTATAAGCGTTTAAGCCAGACGTTCCTCGAAAGGACGCCTATTTCCCCATATATCATTAAAAATTCCCCTTTTCTTAGTGGATTTTCGCAATCTTTGCGTTGAAATACTTCTTCTTCAAGTGTTTCGAAGCATAATCGATGCATATTTCACGCATTTATGCGATACAAGTAGACTAATCACTGAATTCCTAATGAAAGAGACTATCATAGGTGTTTCAAAAATGATGGTTCCATTTAAATAAATGAAGGTGACCTTGAAAAAATGACAGAAACACAAAAATATTTTTGATATCTTGTGAGCCCCATTGAACCATTCGACATTATTCTTAAAACATTTGACGTATCTTTAAAAACGATATTTGAGGTGCAAACGTTAGGTGGCTCACCCTGAATAGAAATTCAATTTATTTCATCAGACCAAACCATCAATTTGAAGTCAGTTAATAAGCAATATTGCAAATAGACTGAAATGAAAATCACAGTTTCTAAAAAACATTTTCCTTCGCGATTCCGACAAAATAGAAATTAATTCAACTGCTCCAGTAAAAAACTGATTTCTTCAACTTTTAAAAATTGAATACATTCACAAGCCACTGCTCGGAGATGGTTACAGATTAATTAATAAGAATCGTTTGACGCCAGGTGTTGAAGGAGCTGTCGCCGCAAATAATATTCACGGCGCACGAGCACAAAGCGATGCATATCAGCCTGGACACGGCTACGGATCAATTAAGCGAGATCTGGATCGTGCCACCTCACGAGACTACGATACACCAATTAAGAACGGACGTAGGCGACATTCACGAAGTGCAAGTGCCAACTTGTTCTTACCGAATGGGCACGCCCCACACGGGTTACGGACTCGCATATATCGGTAGAGAAAAAAAAAACCATTTACGTTTCCTTAGACAGAACCGTTAGCCGTTTTTATTATTTCGTTACGTTCCTTCTCGTTTCGTTTTTAATTTTTAGATACACGAGAGAAGATGGTAGAGTACACAATTTTGTGGCTGCCGGGAAGGTTCCCACAATTGTGGATTTACGTTTTCGTCGGCATATTCGTTTTAGCCTTCACCGTTTGTACGTATGCCACCAGTTACTGTGCAAACAGCCGTGCAGCTTATAGTCGCATGTCCTCCTCGATGTAGAAACGAGCTTGACGTCAGAGACTAAACGCGAAGAGATCCGTCCAAAACTTGTGATTCCTGGCCATGGTCTGTGTCAAGCTTCGAGTAGAACATGACAAACTTAGAAACGATTTACTTAACAATGAAACATTTCATAGAACACAATCCGTCGGCGCTTGAACTTAATTATCAAATTTGCCGGATTGGACTATATTATTTGTGACTCATAGATTTAGTATTCGTATTATCATTTCCACAAAATGTTTTAACACGTTGCCAAACTTATTATACATATATATATATATATATACATATATTTCGTCTGTGTAAGCTTTTTTAGTTGCAAACCGTAAGGCTGAATTAGTTTAGCTTTAATGTACTGTAATTTGTGAGAAGTTTATTAATTGATCTCGTGACTAGAGAATCGTATTGTCATTTTATCTATATTTAATTAATTCACTTAACAGCATATCTATAAAAGTTCAATGTAAATAGGAAAACGAAGATCCTCTATATTTCTCCTGTTTAAATGAAAGAGATTCTAACAGCTACAATAATGTGGCGAAAAAATATACTGTTAACTTTTTAGAGGAGACACCATTTATAAATCAGAGCGTGGAAAACGTGTATATAAGTTTGTCGAGAATTAATAAATGTTGAATCGTTGAACCTATTTTTATTAAACGTAACTGACGAGCATGAACAGAACCGTTAGAGCAATCAAGCTAATAGAATATTTTATATCCGGCGAGGTGTTGCATGGTTCCTGATTCAGTCGCGGCGGGCAGACACACACTTCAATCACGAACCCATTCACCTGCGAATAACAATTAAATATAAAAAAATGTAACGAATTCGAAAATATAAATCAATGACTTCAATTACGTTTTGTTGATAGCATCCCGATACCACTGGAACCGAATTATCCTCTATCACTTTCCCACAGAACGACGAAGTGTTAACAACTGCAACCATTCAGTCATAAATATCTTCAATTATTATACATTGTCATAATTTAATATATTGTTCGGTA